AAGGGGAATGAGGGGCTGAGGAAACCAGCTGATATTTCATGTTGATTTAATGTAGTGAGAGCTAGAAGTGACAGGAAGGAAAGTGTTACAGAAGCCCAGGTGAAGTACTGTGACAGCAAATGTCATGTAAAATATAATGTCTAATGCATGCAAGCTGATGTACTTGGGGCAAAATGCTGCTCACTGTCAAAGCCCTGGAAGCCACTGATCTGTCAGAGTGTGGCAGGGGAGGGCTCAGCAGTGGCAGGGAAAACTAGACAAATGTTGGAAATTATGAGGAAAGGAGGAGATAAATCACTGAGAAGTGGTTTAATGATGGGGCTTTTTACAGGAGGGAAGGGGAAGTGGAGGGGTGTGATTTGCTGGATCTCCACTGTGAATAGGCCAGAAGGAGGGAGAGCAAGTGGCTGTTTACGATTCACTCTCCCTGGTGCCAGAGCAGGGAAGCAGCAGGAAGTGCATTTCCACACAATTATAATTAACCAGTGGAAGTCATTGCCACGGGATGTTATGGGAGCCAAAAGTGTAAAGGGAGTTAAAAAAGGGATTATCCAAATTAATGGAAGAGAGTCCCTTCAGAGGTTATTAAATAATGAATCTGGCTCCAGCTCTGGTTGAGCTGTCTCTGTGCTGCTGATTGCCAAAGCCAGGGGGGCAAGAAGGGAATGGGGTCCTGCTTTTCTTGGGCTGAGCACCTGCTCTCAGAGGTGCAATTCAGAGATGGTGTTGGGAGAGATGAAGCTTGGATATGAGCTAGCCTGGCTGTCCAGCATTTTCTTCTCAGGTTCCTACTCCTGGTGTAATACAGAATGAACTCTGTTCAGATTTAATCCTGCAGCATGTTACCTTTCCTCTTTTCACTCCATTATCTGCCAGCCCACTAAAAATTATTTACCATTTAGTAAATAAATAAATAAATAACTAAATAACTTTGGTAAATAATTTTTACCAAACAGCTTTTTGCTGTGTTCACTGCAAGTTTCTCTGGTTTATGTTTTCTAAAGGTGGATAAAAAACACTATTTGCTTACTTCATCAGCTCTTGTAATGGGTTTGCTGAGAATTGCCATTTGAACCTCTTTTGCAAGTTAAGGGCTGCATTTGGCACTAAGCTCATTAGTTATTTTGGGTATGTTCTGCAGATTTTTTGCTCATGTACTAGGAAGTTGTTTTCCTTTTCTCTATGAGTTTCAGGTATTGAATCTTCTGTATTGAGTTACATTTATAGTCATAAATGAGTTTTTTGAGTATTTAATCATATTTATAGCACTGTTTATGTTGTATAAATGGGAAAGAAAACATGTTCAAGTTGTCATTCTTCTATTTTACAAGTCCATTGCCATCAATAACACAATTAGAACATGCTGGTTTGGATTAGGTATCTTTTAAAATGTAAGGAATTCACCATAAGAAATGAAATCCTGAGAGGGAGGGTCAGTTTTAACAAAACTTCTTGTTCTGACACCAGTTTCCAGGAAACAGACAATGCCTGGCATGGGGGGTGCCTGGCCCTGGCTGAGCTGGGCAGGAGAGGATTGCTGCTCCCTTCCCGAATCCCAGATGGTGAGTTGGCCTTGCTGAGTGCAAGTTCATGAAATCATTTATATTATTAGGCACCAAATGTGTGGCAATAGACTGGGATTTGCTGATGTGTGTGTGCTGGGTGATGACTGAACTACTGAGTTCTACAGTAAAACATTTGCCCATGGGGATATTTAAGTACTTCTGTCTAAAGCATTGGCTTGGGTGTGCCTTTTTTTATACTTAATAAATATTTCTTTCCAAAATGGAATTAATTTCTTGGGGTTTTCTTCTTTCTTCTTCCCTCCCATGTTTCTTTGTACACTTGTATAAAACAATTCTGCATGTCTCCATATTGTGTCAGTGTCATTATTTAAGCAGAATATATTAAATAATTGATGACTAACTTGCACTTTAAAGCCAGTAGCTTCTGCTGTTTGTTTATGGTTAAATTTCAAAGGCCAGTTTCATGTAATTTATACATGAATTGTTTATGTTTTAAATGGGTTTTTGAAATAGCAGGATGGAAAGAAAAAGAACAGGGCAGAGGAATTGTTTCTTTGTGTGTTCTGTAGTTATCAACATACATTGAATTACAGAGATATTAATGTAATTTTGGTCAATGCCATACACAGTGGGAATGACAAATGCACAGTGTAGCAGTTGACATCCACCCTTGGGTGCTTTTATGGCAGTGGCTTGTTCTAGATGGTTCTTTGGATCCCATCTGCTGCTTCTGTGTTGAACAGGGAAATCAAACACTAAATTTAAAAAATATTTCAAAGCAGGTGTTTCGTATTAGTAAGTCAGGGTGTTAAATTCTGGTCTGAAAATGTGTTGTAAAATGTGGCATTTAATGCAGTTTATTACTCTGTCTCCCTGGAAGGAGTTCATGTTCATTCTAGCGTGTGCTGCATGTGAGAAAGTTTGTGCAGTGAGCCTTCAGCTGGTTTCCCTTTTTTCATTACTTTTGCCCTTGCATGATAAAGGTGAAACAGTTAAAAACCTTCCAGTTTACAGCTGGGGAATCATGAAAGGGAAATCCTCCAACGGTAAATCTGTGCTTCAGTTCTGACAAAACCAGAACTGTACACCTCTGTCAGGGAATCAGGATAGCCTCATGACAGATTTTTATTTAATTTGAAGAAGGCAGATCAGATCACCACTGGAGCTGGCTTTTGTAAATAATATTTGTATGGAGATGGGGGAGAATAAATCCTTGAATTCTGTGGAAGAAACACCAAAAAGTTTTTCTTCGTTCACTTTAAAGAAATTCAAATTACAAGGTAAAGGGATACATGAGATATTTTCTTCAAATTGTGGATAATAGTAACTGAAGCTTTCTGCTCTCAGAGATGAGTGAGGCACATAGCTTCAGGTGTAGTGTGAAGAGTGGCAGTGGTGGCACATGGCTCTGTAATTTCATGTTCAGAAATTAGGGATTTAGCAGCATCTGACCCTAGGATTGAAGCTTTACTCTTGGACTGGCAAGCAGCTCTTCTCCTTGTTGGATCACGTGCTGATGTACAGCTCAGGACCTCACACTGACTTATGCCCTGCTGTTGGCATTTCAGTTAATTTGGCTTCTTCTGCTACTGCACTGCCTTTTTTCAACCTCACATTGAGATTTTTGCCTTTTGATAATGTGAGAGAAGCTTTTCTCTATGAAGGATTAAATTAAAGATCAGTGTATCTCTTTTTGTTCCTTACCTCAGAAACTGAAGTTCTGTCATTTACTATTTAATTACCAAACTTGTTACAGCTCTGTCTGAGCTGTTGGCTCAAAGCAGCACAGCACAAAACATGAGTTAAAAAAATGCTGGGAATTCTGCATTATGCTGGATGCAGCTCCACTTCCTTAAGTAGGTTTACACCTATTAGTGGTGTTCAGGCAGGTGAGGATGCTCCTCACCTGAGTAATGATCAATGAGAAATGTATACCTGTGGTTTTATGGGAATAATGCATGCTCTGAGTTGTTGGCTCAAAGCAGCACAGCACAAAACATGAGTTAAAAAAATGCTGGGAATTCTGCATTATGCTGGATGCAGCTCCACTTCCTTAAGTAGGTTTACACCTATTAGTGGTGTTCAGGCAGGTGAGGATGCTCCTCACCTGAGTAATGATCAATGAGAAATGTATACCTGTGGTTTTATGGGAATAATGCTTGCTCTGGGTTTGCTCTCCTAACACTGTGCAAATTTATACAGGGATCAATCAGCCTTATTTTAGTTGAACTTTTGCAGCAGTTTGGACAAGCTGGACAGCAGCTTTAAGGCAGAGGGAATTCTGAGCTTCATTATTTGGAATTAAATTAAGGATAAATTAACCTGCATAGTGAATTTCCATCACTGAAGAAAGCTCCTTTTCTTTGGAATTGATTTGGTCCCAAAATTCTGCTTGCCAATTGAAAATTTAACTAGGAACTTCTTGCTAGCTGTTCTTCCATACAGATAGTGTAGTAAATGTATTTGTGTTCATTAATGACTTTCCATATATTGTAAGTACAGATCACAAGATTTATTTGAAAAATTGCCAGTTTATATACACAGATATAGAAGTAGGAAATAGTTTTATGGCTGTATGTAGAAGGACACAGAAACTGATAGTGAGTGATAACACATGTACTGAAACAAGACCTTCACCAGGAGAGTTGGCCTCAGGTGAAATAAATTATATAAATAACTTTTTAGGCCTGGAGTTTGAAGGCTGCCCAGTGTCTGTCTAACCTCAGCAAAGCAGGCACCTGGATTGCTTAGTTCTTCATATTTTCAGTGTTGTTTACATAGCCATTTACTTAAAGTTGAACATAAACTGCTTTTAATAAACCTGTGCAGGCTTTCTTTGGTTTGACTTGAATCTTGGTCCCAGTCAGTGCAAGAAGAGGTCGCTTACACAGGGTTTGGGGCAGTTTGTTTAAAGGCCTCTGCCTCTGAGGAACTAAATTTGGTCTGTTGTTCTGTCTTAGGGCAGAATGGCAAAGTGCATCCATACACAGAGCAGTTTTTACAGTATATTCTAAAAATCAGTTTTAATCTTAAGCTTGTTTAAACTACTGCACAGTGACATAAAAAGGTTTTCAAAGGAAAAAAAAAAAAAGACCCAAACCCCCCCCATTAGATGAAGTTATGGCTGGAAAAAGACTATGACAGTATGTTATTGAGCAATATTGTTTCTAGAGCTTAAATGTCTTTTAAGAAAAGAAGTTGTAAAAGTTATTTTACATCATACAATTGCAAAAACCCCTTGAAGATTAATCTAATTTACTTTGGCTTTAGTAACGAATGCAAAAATTCACTCATCAAAACCTGAGCTTGTACAAGGCAAAGTTCAATTACTTAAAAATATTAATATAAAATTATGAACATTATTTACAATGGAGAGATTGAATGTATCTTGTCATGGGCCAAGCCCAGTGATTGAGGGTTTGTAGAAATTTCACGATGATGCCGATAACCAGAAACTCACTGAAAGGAGGAGAATTAGGACACTCTTGTTCTCTTCCTTAAAGTGAACACTCTGCTGCAGTCATTGGGCCTGACCCTCTTAGCACCTTGCTGGGATTTCGTGGATTCTTTTTGGTTTGTCCTTTTTTGTCCTTTCCCCTTTGGGTTGCACTGGGTATCCTGAGCATCAGCCGCGGGCTCCGCGGGCGCGCCGTGCCCGTCGCCGTCCAGCCGGGCCGTGCCGGGGCTGTAGGCAGCCAGCTGGCACAGAGCCACGGCTGCTGTCTGCTTCTGCTCGTCACAGCTCTCCATGAGCCCCAAGTCTGCAGCCTCACCACGCTGGGCTGCGAAGGGTTTGTCACAGGCACTGCTGCTGGGGGTCTTGGGGCCGCACGGCTCCGCTCCGGAGCTCTCCTTCTCGGCGCTGGGAGGAGCGGCGGCGGCGTTGTTGTCGTGGGATGGGCTGTGAAAGGATGTTTTCAGGCTGGCTGTGTTGCAGGAATCCTTCACTGAGAGGTTCAGGGGCATGTCCTGCATTTCCAGGAAGCTCTGCCTGTCTGTTTTGGATGGGGTTTTGTACATGTGCTCATGAGTAGGTCCTGTGCTTGTGTCGGGCTTTTTTGAAAGATTGAGGGGACCTATCCCTGTGTCTTCCTCCGTGCTGGACAGCGAGCCTGTGTTGTTCTGACCATCAGTCTGTGAGTGTGAGTCTTCATCAGTGACATTGATGCTGGAAGAAACAGGGAGAAAAGAGAATTTACTATCAATTGTTCTTTTAAACTGGGGCTGAGGAAGTGGGCAGGAAGAGGAAAAAATCTGGACTTCTAGGCTAGAAGTTTGACAATTCTGTTGTTTCTCCTTTAAATCCCCAAATCCCTTTCACCATACCCACCACTGTAATGGAAGCAATTCCCTGAAGTACTCAAAGACATTGGAAGTACACAAACACAGTGGAAATTCCTGGTACATTTAAGGAGAATAATGAACGGTCTGCTCGCTGTAGCACCTGTGTGCTTTGCACAGTCAGTACAGAGCATATTAACTGCTGTAAATCTAAATATATCTAACAGGCACTGCATGAAATGTGTCCGTCTCTCTTTGCGTGTCCCTGGTAAACCTGACAAGAATTTGCAAAGTGTTATTTTACCTGTTAGGTGAATCCCCTCTGTCCTGCTGTGCCTGCACACCTTGAAGGGACGGCGCTTGGTCCGTGCTTTTTCTCACAGGTCTGAAGGCTGTGAAGTTTTCTTCTGATTGGTCACACTTGCCCAGGGATGTGGACGATGACTTGTTGGAGAGGTCAAACAAACCCTCACACGTGTGGCTTGTCTGGGTGAAGTTGGTGGGGCTGGGTCTGCCAGGGGAGCCCGTTGCTGCACTTCCCGCGAGAGGGCTCATTTTGGCATTCTCTCTTTCATTTTGGTCATCCTTAGCGTTACCTTTGGCGTGCAATAACGTCATTTCTTTTTCATAATCTGCTTGTTTTTTATGTGAGCTTAGAGGGTATTGTTGGGACGGACTTAAAGAAGCTGGGTACAGCAAGGTGGTTTCTTCCATCAGATGAGAGTTTTGCTCCCTGTTAATACCAGCTACGTGTGAAAATCTGTAAAATGGAGGATCTGTTGGCCTACAAAATCCATATGGTATCGGTGGAGTGGAGTGGTACTGCTGGAACAATCGATAGTGTTCATATGCTGATGGATTTAGGGGTTTTGGAAGTGGCCCAGGGTGGGGAAGAAAGTGTCTTTGATCTTGTGCTCCATAGACAGAGAGAGCAGAGCTTTCACACTCTGAGCTACCTGGGAGCAGGTAAGGTGTGTAGATAGCAAGGCGGTGCTCATAGAAATGGGGTGAGTACTCGGGAATCATTGGTTGCATGTAAGGTGAAATGGAACCAAAGCCTTTCGTGGGAGCCACTTTATGTGGAAATTCTGGGAGGAAAGAACCTGCCTTCCACGGGTGAGCTGGCGCGTGAAACGCAGACTTGGTGTGAAAAGGAGAACTTTTGTTAGAGAGGGAGAGGATTTCAGATGCCTCAGTGATTTCTGGGCCTTTGCTGTCTCGGTGCTCTCCGACGGGGACGAAGGCCGAGGGCCTGACCATGCCCTCCATCAGGGGCTGCACGCTGATGGCACCTTCTGCTGCAGAGCTGGCCGGGCTTAGTTCCTTTGGGATGGCGGGTTTCTGTCCTGGAATCGCGGCGTTTGTGGCCTGGTTTTGTAACTCAACGTTTTCCTTGGCGTCTTCTTTTGTAAAAGGGTATTGAGGCTTTGAATCAAGGCTTGGCAGTCCGTTTGTGACGGATTTAGAAGAAGTTGGTTTGACTGTAGATTCCAGCTGGTTGATCTGCTTGGGCTCCAGGGAACTGCCCTTTGGACACTTGATGACACGATCCTGCTCTGACACCAAAGTGATGGAGTTTTTGCAGAGGCCATACTTCATGTGGTTAAAGAGATGGGATTTCTCATTGCAAGTGAAGGGGCACTGGAAGCACTTGTACTTGAACGGCTTTCCCGGTGGTCTTGGGATGTAATGAGGCTTCTTGGGTTTACGTTCTTTGAGGAGACTCATTTTTTTTTCGGCTTTAAACAATTAAATGTAATGGTTCTTTATAAAAACTTTCTTGTGGTTGGCTTCCCTCAGTTTTAGCCTCGTGATGTTTCCGGTTTTTCAGGTTTCTAGAATCCTTCTTCCCAGGTGAGGAGAAGCAGCCAGCTCCTGTGGTGTCTCAGGGAAGAGGGTGCCGGAAAACAAGGCTTTTGCCACTGGTGGTGCAGGAACTGAAACACAAAGTTTAAAATGAATTGTAGTGGAACACTGGAACTAAACACGAAGTAGTGCCTTGTCCTAAGAACATTCCCCCTCACTGTGCATATGTTGTGTTATTTGGGTATTTTAAAACAGAATAAAAAAGCTGGATGTCAGGCTGGAGTCAGATGGGCATTGACCTTTGGCATCCTCCCAAACACAGTCACACAAGTGGCCTAATTTCCAGCAGCAGCACTTGTCACCTGCCTGTGCTGCCGGCTCGGGGGAGTTCTCTTTGAAAGCTGGAGGAACATTCATTGAGAAGATGAAAGTAGAAATCCAGGCGGAGCTGTTGAGAGAGGAGTGGAGTGGGTGGGATGGGAAGAGGCAGGTCCCGGCAGGGGCTGGATGTGGGGCGAGCCTGTCGGGCCGGTCCGGGAGAGCGAGGAGGGAATTTCCTGCTGTGGTGACACAAGGGTGGGGTGGATGGGTCGCTCTTGGGCGGCTGACTGGGCTCTTTCTGAGACTGACCAGCCCCTCTCTTCACTGGTGTGGCGTTTCCCAACAGCCCAATCTCAATGGATACCTCAAAAGTGCCCAATCTCTCGAAGGATAAAACCACACCGATTTTCTTCCTCTTCCTAATTCAATTAAGAGAAATGAGCGCTGCAGTGTCTGACTAATGGAATCCTCTGCCTGATAAACACATCTCCCAATCTCCTGCTGCGTCGCTCCTCACAGATTGCACACAGTTAACACGGGCACCCCAGTGTATTAACTCGGGGGGAAAGTGTCCGACAGTCATTGATTTATAGGGGAAGGATCTATCTGCCTTTCTCTGGAAAAACGAAGGTTGTGGATACTTTATCCAGCCCAGCGATTCGCTGGGTAGATAAGTCGGGAGGGCTTGTACCGGCTTGTTCCATTATGTTCACTGATTCTGAAGGCGTGAGAAACTCTCGGAGTCAGGTTCTCATGATTTTATAGGATGTGTTATGGCAGAGATCTAAAAACTGATGATTTCATCATGAACTACAAGCATCATTATCAAAATGATGACTGTTGCAAAACCACGTACTGTATCTATTGTGTTACCCGAAACTACAGGAATACTAATTGGAAGAGTGACGAGATAGCTCCATTTTTTTTTAAAAAAAAAGCTTTTTAAGCTTTTTTAGAAGTTTGAATTAGTAGTATTAAAATACTAAGTTCATGAAAAGAATTGCTGGTAATTATGTGCTGTGAGATTTTAGTTCAAGTAGAGATGTTTTGCATTTCTTAAATCAGAGATTATTTAACAGAAAATGACAGGCAACACATGATGAAAACTGAAGGGAAAGCTACAGAATTGCTGCTTGGCTCATCAGGTATAGTAATTCTAGCAAATTGTATTAAATGTTTTTTTCTGATGTCATAGAAGTATTAATTTTGTTAAAATAGTTATTGTGAAGGCACCCTTAAAAATGCAAAGCTGCTCTGCAAGTAGAAAAAAGTAATCAAGCTTTTTCCTAAAATTAACAAGTGATTAAATGTGCTTCAGATTAATGAAAAAAAAAGAATTTCTAGAGAAGTAGCTTTTTGTTTTTCAGGTTTTAATGGGGTTGTTTGAGTTGGATATTGATACTGTAAGAGCAACAAGGAAAAATGCATTAGCATGTTAAAGTCTCATCACTGGAGTATGGCTGAAATGGTAGTCCAGTAAATTTTTAAAAATAACATATTTTAAAATATTTTAAATAGCAATAGCTAGAAATCCTTTGAAATATTAAAAATAATATTTTTACATTTAAAAATAAGTGAATTAAATACTGAGACATAGGAGAAGAGGTTGAGATAGGGAACTGGACTTTTTCTTCTGCCTTAAGTGAGCTTGTTGCACTTATTTTCAACTAATGATGTGTAACCAGCATGGAAAGTTTGTCATGGACTCGGTCAAGTCAGTTTGTACCTGTTATTCTTTATATCTTCTTGGAAGTGCTTGTACTAATTATTCTTGAAAAAAGATATTGTTGTCAGAACTCCATTGCTTTCTTAGGTGAAGCATTTATGATAAGGTCCGAATCTGCATTCAGGTGCAGCATTTATAATCAAGGGATGGTAATTAGATTTCCTTGTTCTTCCAGCTTTCCTTTGCTTCATAATGAAAATTCCTGTGTGTCCTGTCCTCCCCCCTCTGACTTTGTACTTGGTATTTAACTTTGATTCAAGTTATTCCTGTTGGACAGAGTATTAACTATCATTTCTTAACAAGATAAAATGCGTTGCTGCAGTTTTAATGTTAGAAATTTCAAGCCTTGGAGCTCCTGTGCCGTGGGTACAGCAGGAGAGCATTCCAACAGCTCTTTATTTCTTTCTATTTAATTTGTTTTGATGGCTCCAGAGCCTGCTGCTCTGACTTGGGAGGTGCAGAGAGCAGCTCATTTTAAAGGGTGTTTACCTTTCTTAAACTTAGGTCAGTGCCAGCCAGGTGAATGTTTTCTTTCTCTCTTTTACTATTTAATCCCTATTTTTCTCATGGTTTAAAAATGCCAGTAATAAAATATTTCTAAAGTTAGACAGGTAGGATAATTCTTCCTCTGGTCCCTAATTCACAAGAGGGTCTGGCAGAGAGACATATTTTAGTATTAAAAAACATTAAAACTATTTGATCACACAGTCAAAAAGGACATTAATAGTTTAAAATAGGTGTAACCAATTAAAACCGTCCCTAGATAAATAATGCTACTTACAGCTGTACAATGTATGTTTTGTGCTGCCAGAGTTAGAATTTAGTACTGGAAAGAAAATATCAAAACAAGTAGTTGCTTTTTCCTTTAACTTCAATGCCATCACTTGTGATACCTTTTAAAAATGGGGAAAAAATCTTCAACAGCAGGATAATTTTTACATAAATTTTTTTCTTAGATTGAGAATATTTCCTGTAGACCTGCTTGTAGAAATGCAGATGGTTCTATATTATATTATAATTCTCTAGTTTTGAAATGCAGTAGTGTTATTTATTTATATTTTTATTGAAAACAAGTTATTCAGATCATCTTGATTAAACTTGAGGTTATCTTAGTTGTTTGTTTTTGGCACTAGTAACCTCCTCATGGCTTTCGAACCTGTCGCCCTTTCCAGCCTGAGACTGACTGCTCCAAGTTTCCTTCCTTCTGCTTTTAAAAGCAGCTTGTTGCTCCCTCCTTGCCTTTACCTGTTGGCAGGTTCAGAAAACAGGAATGTAGTTGAACATTGTGTGTAAATATATAAACAAAAAATGTCCGTGGGGATAAGTGTATACACACATATGCACATGTGTATTCATACACACACATAGATATGTGCATCTAGATCTGTCCAGGTTGGTTTTTTTAGGGTTTTAAGTAGTTTAAATTGTTTAAGATGCCCAGTTGATCAAAGAGGAAATTTCAAAATGTCTTTTATTACAAGCAGGGACAGTAATTACATTTCTTTTTAGGACACTGCTTCAGCAAAGTACGTAACAGCTGCTCATGCCCACCCCATTATTATTGCAGGCTCCTGGGTGATGTGGATCTCTCTGACCAGGAGGACTCACTGGGGTGGAACATTTTGAAGGACATGCTATAATTAAAATATTGTGATGTGGCATTATTGCATAACCCAAGGACATGCCATTGTCACCTACCCAGGGTGTTGCAAGAACAAGATTTGTGAGTTTTATTCTAGCTGAGATTTTTCCAGCGATTAACCACCCCTCCCTTCTAAACTTCCAGGTCCTTGAAACTGAAAGATAAATTTTAACACAACTGATTGTTAATTAGGAGGAAGCAGGGGTGAGAAGGGTGGGCTGGGAGGGCAGTGTGTGTGCGAGGTGCAGACCCACGGGAACTTCTCTGTGTGTCTGTCTGTGCGAGAGGAAGCTCCGAAACACAGATTAAACGACTTGCTTAGGCAGCGTGGATAGGAAATAAAAATCTCTCTACATACCAAGTTAATAAATCAATGTCTTCATACACTCTAATTGACTAGAAAATAGAAAAGGATCTGATTTTCTGCTAAATTTCTAGAAGGTGGAAAAATTAATAAATCAAAGCTGGAGCACATTATTTTCATAAAAGCTTTTCAGATGAACCTGACACGACTCTAGGAAGCAGAGCTGGCACAGCAAACACAGCAATTTTAAGCAATACAGCTTTTTTGTCATACTTCAATATATTAACTCCCCAAATAAAAAAGAAGAAATAAAAGCTGCTGAAAACCCTTTGCACCAACAAGAAGAGTTAATTATTGTAAAAACTCGCAAGAGTCAGATTTTCTCTCGGGCAGAAATATTCCCCACTCCTGTTGAAAGTTTCTGCTGAAAGCTGAGACCGGTGCCGTGAGTGCACCTGCTGGAGTAACCCTGGCTGCTGGGACAGCTGGGAACTGAGCACCTCAGACTTCCTCCTTAAATATCAGCAGGTTTTATTGAAAGAAATGCTCTGAAGCAGGTACTCACCGGGCACTGGGGTGTCCGAGAGCCGCCGGGCGGGCGCTGCGCTGGAGCTGTCACTGCTGCGAGAGCAGTACCTGTTCTCTGCCTGAGCCCTGGTGAAACTGCAGGAGGCTGTTCCAGGGGAGGGACCTGAGCGTGTAGGAGTTGAGCCCTCGGGGTGTAGAGATGCACCTGATATTACTCCAGCCTGCAGCTACGATTCATTTGTTTGCGTCCACCGCTCTCATTGAGCATTACCTCAGCATCTCCTGTCGAAGGGAAGGCAGCTCCCGTCGCTCCGTGCCCTCCAACAACCAAGTTTTGCTCTCGGCTCTGGTGGCTGCTCCTTTTGCAGTGTGGGGTCAGAAGTGGCTGAGTTAACACAGGA